CCTCCTCCTCCTCCTCCTTCCTTCCTTCCCCTCCCCCTCCTCCTTTTTTGCATGCAATCTTATATGTTGCTCCAGTTGATTAAGCTACAGTTTTCCATTACAATCAAGCCAGGAAAGTAAATATAAAATCAGTTTGATCTGGAAAAAAGATGGGAAATTATTACATCTGAGTCAATTGATTGAGTAGAACAAAAATCTCTAACTTGGTTTGTTTAGAGGGATTTGAATATTCAAAGGTGATATTTTCCACTTCTATCTGAAGAGGAGAGATCTGCATACAGGTAGTACTCATTTAACAACTGCCTCATTTAGTGACTGTTCACAGTTACAACAGTAATGAAAAAGAAACTTTACCACCAGTCTTTTGCAGGCCTGTAAAGCAAAAGAAAGCTGTGGTAAGATCATAAGCACCGTGGTGGTTTCACTTAGCCACTGCTTCACTTAACAACCGAGTTGCTGGTCCTAATTGTGGTTGCTAAATGAGGACTATCTGTACTGTCTATGGGTGATAAATGATCTTGCACCTACATTTCTTTATGGGTGGGACCTTTTCACTTCTTTCAAACAGCTAAGGTGATCAGAATTAGAACTGGGCATTGTCAAAAGGTTCTTCCACCAAAGTAATGGTCTAAATTCTGCATGTGCAAGTTACTTGTTCCTATCCATCATTCCTGTTCATTGTATAGACAGAAATATACCATATTCCCATTTTGCTCTTCTAGAAGTTCAAACACGAGACCTGCGAATCATGTGCACTGCTAAATCGGAATGGACTCCTCCAGAGGAAACAGATATCATTTCAGATGAGTCCCACAGAAACCAGAACAGCAGTCCTCAAGCCAATAATTTTCATTCATCATTGTCCCAATTTATTTCTGAAGAAGATGATATAAGTGGTCTTGAGAATGACAACATTAAGCTGACTGAAGATCGCTCAACTGTGGAACTGGAGGATAGAGGAACAGAATGTCTGACAGACAGGCAGGTTGGAAGCCCTGCAGAACTCAACAGTTTCGCTGAAGGTGACTCTCCCTTGCCCAGCCCTCCTCACTTGGATTCCAGAGAAGCATCCAACCTAGAGAAGAAACATCTGCGTGAAAGCCAGACTGTGGAAGAACTGACAGGCACCCAGGAAAATGATGTAGCAAATGTAGATGAAAACAACAAAAGTGAATCTATTGCCATACTAAATGTTAAAGATGCTCAAAAGTTAACTCTTTCAACTGCAGGCTTGAGTTACATTCCAAATGATACACCTGAAGCTACAAAGGTGGGAGATATTTCTCCTCATCAGGACTCTTGGTGAAAATTTTGACCATCTCATCATGTTCTCCACCTTGAAGCTTCTCCACCCTGCTCTTTTGTTTCTCAGTTGCAAATATTGTTCCTCCAACCAACACTACAGTGTATACAAAATAAATGCATAAATAAAATTCTCCTGTAAATATCAATAATAAATGCAACTGAAGTGATTAATTCTTAGATTCTGGCCTCTTCCATTTGCTATGATGAACATTACCAGATAGAGTGACATAACAGATAATAATGGGTGTCCCTTCGTTATGTTTGATCGTGTAATTTCTTTCTCTTTCTCTCTCTCTGTAGAATGTATATTTCTGGCACGGTGCCTGCTTGAATGTATCTAAGAGACTGAAATGTCAGGAGGAGGTGGGTGAATATTGGGCTTGATTAAACTGACAGAATCAGAAACAATAAAATACAAAGGCATCTCTGAGCTAATTTGCCCCTTTTATTTTCCTAGTACAAATGAGTTAATACTCAACAGCAAATTGTTGCTATTATAATTAATTGCTTTACATACATGGTACCTAACCTTATATTAAAAGATGTATTGCCTCCCACATGCTGTAAATGAAGTTTATCCCCCTCAAGAGCTGCAAACCTGGGGGTGATGCTGAAGGAGCTGTTCCAGTTCTTTGAATTATATGCGAGGTAACATCAGCTGAGGTTTTGTCCTCCCCAACTCCTGTCTGTCCCACATCCAGACCTCATCTTAGTTTGTTATAAATTGCTCTATCTGGCTCTCTTTCCCCTCGAGCCAACTTTTGCTTTGGCAGTCTCAGATCTTGATTTTCTGTAGTTCTTTGATGATGTGTGGGTGATGTCAACGAGAGTTCCCATCGCTGAAAAGTGAACATTGATAGAGGCTTCTGCAGTTAGAGCGGGGAGTCAAAAAAATCAAGGTGGTGGCTGCAGCTGTGTGATAGAAACCCTCCCCCTTTTATGTGAGAATCAGCCTCCATCTTGGCTTTTTGAAACCCTCCTGCCCTTCCTGCAGTCACCCCTGGTGGACTACCTTCTCAGGCTAACGAAAGGAGATTCTGAAGTTGGATGTCCTCCTTTCTATTAAAATTGACGTCTGTGTTTTGTTTTTTAAAAAAGAAAGGATGTTTTGTTTCCTTTCTGATCCATTAACTTGTGGTCGGTAGCTGAAATGGTTCTCTTCATGGCCATTTCCCCTCTGAAATGCTTTTCATGTGGGGCAGTCAATTAACTTCCAGTAGGAAAGAAGAACTCGAGGGTTTTCTGACCCTGCAGAGGGAACCATTCCATGGGCCAATTTCAATGGTGCTGAAGGGCACCTCTGTGGTTCCTCATAGGATGGTAGCTGTGGAATATTTACTATGGAGAACTTGCAGCTGTTGCACCAAAGGGAGGTCTGATTTCTGTCGTGTCGTGTTTCATTTTGTTTTCTTTCCAAAATAAGAAACAAATCTCAGCAGCTGTAGAGCTTGTCTGGGCTTTGAGCCCTAGAGACAATTTTCCTGCTGGCTTGGGAATCTAATTGCCTGTAAATGATCATTTCTCACACATAGAACTTAAAACCAATTGGAGAGAGGATTAATCCCAATTTAACGATAAGAATTACTTTAAAAAAATAAAAAAGGAAATCCTTCCTGGTTTTGTCAGAATATCTGCCAGATGTACCTTGCTCACAATTAGAGATTTGGATGGTGTTAAAAGGTGAGTAGACAATTTTATGGAGTATGAGGTTACTATTGAATATTATTAGTCCTAAGACTAATATATCCAGAGGCCTTGAACTGAACAAGTTGATTGCACCACATGGAAAGATTAATAGGAGCCTCCATATGACAGAATTCTCTGAACAACAAAACATGATTCATTCTGGCTTGTGACTGTCAACCAAAGAACCCCTCTTTTAGCCCTCTTAATGCTGACTTATTTTTCTTGAGGAAGAGTAATGAAGGCTTAATGCAAGAGGATGGGAGAAAACAAGGAAATCTTCAGAACCAGTTAGCCATTACAGCAAGCCAACAGTCTACCAACTTTGTAGAGGCTCTTTACATGCTAAAGAACATGTTATTAGTTCCCCATGCATAATAAGCAAAAGAGTGGGTATTTTTTTTTCCAAAACAAATATGATGCATGTACGTTTCTACTTTCTGCACTGCTCTGTGCAGAAAAACAAAACAACTTTCCTTCAAAATTACTTTCACATCACCATGCCATTTGCACCCCGTTCCTTTTGAGCAACACTGGTTTATTCTAAATTAAATGTCTTGTGCATTAATAATACTAATAAAAAAATGCGGAACCACTTATTAGCATGTATAATTTCATTCCTCTGTGTGCAGGAGGGAGAATTTCACTATCTCTTAAATTTGTGGTAGTGTTGCTTTTGTTAATAGAATAGCTGACAATGCTATCAACTTGACGAAGCAGTTGGGCTCTCATTGGTAAATAACAGATAGACATTATCTCAACATGTTGTTATAGGAATGACAAAATGATACAGTGGGAAGAGTAATGCATATATAGACCAAACTCATAAATATGAAATTCTAGATTTTTCTTCATCATAAATAGGACATTCCACATCTCAACTATATATAGGGTTTGTGTGTGGGTGTGTGCGATTTTGTTGCAGGCTGATAAGGTCTATAGCTGATGCTATTCACATCCTGGTGCAAAATACCGAATGGAGGACAGTATTATATATACAAGAGTCATCCTATGGGGGGATGGGCGGCATATACATTTAAAAATAAATAAATAAATAAATAAATAAATGCCAGTATTTTTCATACCTTTAAATTATGGACTTAAGCTGTTTTCTATCTCAAACCTAGTTTAAAACCCAGCTATGGCAGTGGAAAAGTTTGCACTTGAATGTAAGGGCCTCGGTTGAATTGGAACGATATTAGTGTTTTGGTGATGTTGAAGATTCCTCTGTGCACAAATGTGGATGCAATCCAGAATCAGGTCCTAAATTGGTAACTTAAGCTATTGTAGCTGTTGTAGCTGGCATGCTGCTGTCTAAACCTATACTTGAGGACACAAAGTCTAAACTTCAATAATCCAAGAGAGAGGGGAAAGGTTCAGTAACCAGTTATGCCTTTTGTGACTGCAGTTATAGTCACAAAGAAATTGTGGGTCAGCATCACTTACTTAAGCTTATGCCAACCGTCAGAAGAACCAAAAAGGAACAAGGAACAGCAGCAGCCGAATACCATGGCACCTTCAGTTCAGGAGAGGAAGTGGGACAAAGTGGGAGATCCCACCAATAAGGAACTGCCCACTCTATGGTTACAGCAGAATTTAGTAAATCTGCTTTTGCTAAGTTTCCTGTGGAGCAGTATTAGACCTGATCTGCTCCCAAAGTCGATTGGCTTCTCAGGTGAAGCTTGCCAGGGTCCAAAAAACTGCGCCAATTTTGGATCAACTCAGCTTTTCTGTATCATCTATCATAAAAATGTCAATTTTGGTGATAACAGAAACAAAACCCAATCCCCACTGGCTCTGATGTAACCAAGAAACATAACTCTCCCCTGTTCTGAATAAATCCCATGGTATTCTTTGGTATGGAGAAAATAAGATGTAATCTGAGATGCTTTGGAAAAGAGGAATTACCTCTAGCCCCCCCCCCCCCCAGTTGGTGGGAGGAGAGATGTAACACCAATGTAAGTGTTGTTCAGCTGTATCCCTTGGCTTGCTCCCTCAAAGGGGAAATGGCTGCTAATTCCTACAGAGATAGGATCAAAACTGCCTGTTTCTGTCCAGGTGGTTCAGAGATTCCATTGACTGTAGTGTGTTTCTTGGCAGAGACACAAAGATGATGTACACTTTAGGAGGCTGAACAACACTGAGGGCCTCACAAGTTGAGAACATCAAAAAGTCCGGGATTTCTTTGTGTTTGCTAATGACCTTTTGAACATTTATGAGAATTCCGCTGACGAAAAACAGCTGTGAGACAGAAGTCCTCCCTTTACGTTGCTTGATTGATCTCTCTGTAGGCCTTTAAGTCACATAGTGGGTGGTACATTTAAGGTTTTTATTTTTATTCCAGGTTTTGGAGACTTTTCAAGTCCAGCTTCTTTTCACAAGGACAGATTTTCCTTCAAGTTTCTTTTCTTTACAGGCACACTTTATAGGCACTTCTGCATATTTCTGCAAGAGCAAATAACCTTGTAGATAAACTACCAGACTGGTAACTGGAGAGATCCAGATTCCTGTTTCCCCTTCACCATGGAGCACATGGGCTGATTTGGGGCCACTCATTGTCTTTCAACCCAAGTTAAGGAAGAAGATTTGCTGTTGCAAGGATAAATGGGGGAAGCCAATACATCCATGTGCCACCCCCCATGCCTATAAATATACCATATTGAGGGGCAACACACAGCCAAACTTGACCAATCTCAAAAATTAAACTTGGGTGAGTGAAGCCCAGAGCCATGGGCTAAAGCAAGGAATTGAAACAATACCCCAGAAGAAGGCAATAGCAAAACACTTAAATAGCCCTCCCAAGAAAACCATAGAATCCTAGGGTTGGAATCGACCTTGCAGGTGTTTTAATAGAACCCCCTGCTCAGGGCAGGAATTTTCAGACCATCCCAGAAAAATGGCTGTCCAACCTTGGTTTGGAAGCCTCCAGTGATACAGCACCCACCACTCCAGGAGAGAGGTTGTTCTACATTCACAATATGCATAGATCCATGTAGTCACAAGAAATTGTGCTTAGCTCAAAAAAGGCTTTACTTTTCTATGTATACATGTCAGCGTACTGTATATGCAGTTATGAAGGGGAAAAAACCAGATCTGATCGATCCATCCATGCAAATGTTTGAAGGTCATAAAGAGTATCTTTTTTGCCCCGCCTCCCCCCAAAAAAACCACAAACCCCATCCTAATTTTTGGTAATGGAGGTTAAGTCTATGTACAAGGCAATCTTTACCAGGAGTTTGTTAAACCCTGAAATCTCAAGAGTATATTTTAATAAATTAGCTGCAGGTCTGAATATGCAACTGATTTTTAAAATTCAGCTATTGCTTAGTATGTTCACTAAATGCAAACACCATTTATTTGTTGCCTTGGTTCTCTGCAATCCTCTTATTAAAATAATATGTTACAGTATATATTTTGTCTATTATAGTGACTCTAAGAACTCTAAGAAGCTGGTTTGAAGGGGCTGCCACAAGGGTGATAAAATAATAATCTGGGGAAGTTCTGATGAACAATTTTTTCCCCCTGCATGTTGAAAAATAGGGCTACCGCATCTGGGCTGCACAAATCCATCACTGGCAGGAAGGAGAGACATATGGAAAATTCCAACTTGGTGCCATCTAATGATCATCTGGATTTTTTGTAGCCATATTGAAAAGGCAGCTTGTTTGCCATTTGCTAATACATAGGTCTCTTTCATATATGGCTAGATCCATTTGGTGGATTAATTGAGGATGCAGGCAGTACCTGGTCTACTAATTAAAAGTTTTGCAAGCATCCAAACATATTATGCAAAATTTGGAAATCTAACTGTTCACTAACAAAAAATGAAAATGTGAGGATCACACCAGGGTAGTCCATGGGGAAAAAAAATTACAGAGTTTATTACAGTTTATTCATTCTGAGCAACTCGTTGTCACTGTTTTAGAGTGAATAAACACAGGCATTGGTACTGCCAAAACTTCATTTCTCAAATATTCTTAATTATTTGCATAGGTGCTGGCAAAACTCCAGCTCATCTTCTAATGGACCAAAATCCATCACCTTTAAATGGATAGCAACTGACCTAGCATTAGCTTTCCTGAAACTTAGTATCTGAGAATGCTAAAAAGGAAAACAACTTTGAAATGGAATATGTCGTTTGTTCTCAGCTGTAACGCTGTGCACTTGAATATCTTCAGAAGAGCATATGAATAAGGAAAGGACTGATTTCTGTTGCATAATCAGTATTGCCCAATTTAACCAGATGTGTCCCAAGCTTTCCAAATAGTGTTGTTGGGTTTTTTGACATACTACTAAAATCCAAGATTATGCTTGTAAAAACCCAGTTTCAAATGTGAACACCGTGGGACATTGTGGATAACTCAAACAAGTTAAGAAGCTTAAAAGAGGCTTTTAAACCAAGCCGACCAATACAATAAGGATAAAATAATCAATCTGAAGGTTTAAAATAGAAATCATGGACAAACTCCTTTCTGATGCAATAAGGCAAAAGCCGTTATCACTCTCTACCAGCTATCTTTCTCAAAGAGGAAAGGCTGGGAGAGAAACATATTTATGCATTTTAGGGAGGCAAGGAAATACAGCCCATCACCTTAGTCAAAGACATCTATTTTTTTTTCTTTTTCTTCTTCCAGATTTTGTTGTTGCTGTTGTTGAGATGTTTTCAAGAGATACAGCATCCTAGAAACAGGCTCATGCAAAGTGTCCACAGCAAAACATATAGTATTTTTTAACCCATAAAGACTAACCTTTGGAGCTAAACCCTCCTCCCCCCACAAAAGCATGAACATCAACTTTGAAAGATGGTGCTGCTCCTCTTTTTTATTCGTCTGCTTCTAGAGGACAGGAATTCACTAAAACAGGGGTGCCTACCTTAACATTTTCAGGAGGGAACCAGATATTGCAACCAGCTCAGCAGATATAAAACCTATTGGTTGTGATTCTGGCCTCCAGCTATGCTTGGCCAGCCCGTACTTGTTTTATAACCCTTTTCTTCCTTTTTGCTGTAACATCAGGGAAGTGCTTTTCCCACAGGTTGTGGTTACATGTCCCGATGACACAACACGCCAGACGTTTACCAGCGTTTCCGTTCTCCAAGCTGGCTTGGTTGTTGCCCTTCCCTAGGTCATCTTCCTGCTCATGGATCACCACTGATCTTCCCAGAATGGTCTGCGGTCCAAAGAGTGTAGCTCTGAGATTTGATCTGAATTTTTTAATTTTGCCTTCTTTAGAGTAGAAGTTTCCAAAGTCCCCAGGATGGTGAGGGTGATTGACTTTCCAAGGGTTGTAATGTCCCCCAACAGAATCACAGCCATTGCTGAGGTCTCCATGCTGATGAATATGAATCGCTCTGCCAGATAGGTTTGTGCCTGTTGGAAATCCAGCCAGGAGGAAAATCACCTCCAATTGTCCATGTGGGTAGGACTGCCTGAACAGAACCTGACCTGTCACATGTGGTTTGCCTGACTCTAATTTGCTATTGGGTTTTACAGAACAACTAGCATAGGCAGTCCGGTTGGCTGTGATTATCTCCTCGTAGAGTTGTGGGTACAGCAAACTCAGCCACAGATCATTAATTTTCTTCTGCATGTCTACAAGTGGACTTATGGCAGGTGGGGCATCTTCCCATTCCATGGTGACATTGGTGTCACAAAGAATCAAGCTAGGAGTGAGAAACAGCAGGAGGATCATGTTGGAACAATTCAGATTCTGAAGCAGCCTATGGAGAGATACAGAGATATGTAGGGTCTCCTATGGGATAAAAGAAACAGGATGACATAGACACCAAAGAGTCACTTTTTAAATAGTATTCTTGAATACCTAAAGGGGTCAATATTATCCTGTGGGTTGGCAAGGGAAGGAATTACATTTAGAAAAATGATGAAATTTGAACTTGGGATGGGAAAGCTGTTCTTCCTAACTCTGTAGACTTTTACAATTCTAACAGACATTATGTCAGAGATCCCAATTTTCTCATTTGTATACAAACCCAGCAAGGAGGATCTGGAATTTTTGCCGCAGTGGCTGGAAGTTTCCCCCCACGAATCAAAATTCTCCAACCCCCTCTCCCCCCAAAAAACTATATATACATCCATTCTTTGTTAATATAGTTTTTCTAGATGCTTTTAGAAAATATAAACACTTCCATTTGCAGATCAGCCTGCTGAATTTCACTGGGTTACTTGTTCCTCTCCAAAATCAAAGTTCTAATAGTCACGATGAACCTAAACTGTTAAATACAGCTGGGAAATATAATAACATTGGATCTGCTCTTTTCTTAATCTCTTTGCCACAACTTTCCTCCAAATCAGCTTGTTTTAGGAGCAGGCTTGTAGGGAATTTCACTACAAAAGTCTGTCTCTGAAAACAGAGCTTCTAAGTGGCTTGAATGCATTTCTGTTCTATTCAAAAGACATTTTCAAGCCAGAAAAATATGTTTAAATCACCTCTAAGAATGCTTAGCCTAGTTTGTTTCTAACAGTAAATATCTTCCTACCTTCACCAGAGGTTTCCTTCAGCAAAGATTTATTTTCCAGTGACACCGTCTAGTTGCTTGCAAATTCTTCATAGAAACAATGGCAAGCATTCAAGTCCAGATTCCAAACCTCTCTGGATCTGAAGCGAATGAGCTCGGCTTGTTTATGGAAGCATTAGGAAACATTAACTTCTGGGGAGTGGTTAGCATGAACTTTGAGAGGTGGGGAAACTGTGAATTAGCCCAGTGAATAAAAGAACCACATTCTCTAAACAAAAGAAATGGCTTTAAATTAATCCTCACTTTCATGGCCTTCAGAAATACATTCATGGAATGTTATCCTGCTTCTTTTGTGGCCTCAAAACAACAAGACTTCTCAAAACTTTTCCAGGAATGATTTGCTGATCAACCAGATGACAATACTTTTTCTATGATTAAGGTTCCTTGAAAACTGTCTGTAAAACCTGCCTTAGCCTTTGCAAGTGGATTTCCCAATCTACATCATCAAAATCCTACTGTAATACCTGGTTCTTGAAAAGCTTTATGTAATACAGATGTTTTTTTCTTTTCGATTCAATGCAAGAGACAGTTTTGTATGTCAGGAGGATTCATCTGGCAAACAAAAGCTCCATTGTGTGTCACAGGGGAAGGTGGTTGTACTGCATGAGTAATTAATAGGCATCTGGATCATAGCTCCCACATAGCAAAATGAGTAACAATCTGTCTGTTAGAACATTAATTTAAATTATTTGTTAAACGAGTTTAGGGATGAAGTCTCTGGCAATGTTCATGATAACCATGCTGTAGAAGTTAATGTTGGTACGATGATTTGCCAATCACACGTGGTTTCTCCAACTGAAGTCTCTGAGGGTGACTTCTTGCTCTCAGTTTAAGAGTCGTAGCAGCTGGCCAACCTCGGTCAATCTCAAGACAACCAGGCAGGATTGGTCCTGCTGGATGCATGGATGGATGGATGTCTACCAAGAATATCAAGACTGTAGATTAGACTGAGAAAATCTCCAAAGAAAGCTGTGGCAATTCACTTCCAATGCTGTTGTCAAGAAAACAGTGGAGACACCTCCTTGTTTCAACTTGAGGGAGATTTACTTTTCTAAATGTATCTCGGGCGAGCTGTCTGAACACAAAACAATGACTGGGTAGCTTAAATGGCCTAAGCCAGCCAGGCCTGCAGTGGCTAGGAATGCAGAAACGGGAGTGTGAAGTAAATAAGTAGCAATGGGAGGAGAAGGAAATGAGAAAAGGTGACAGGGCCAGACACATTCAGAAGTTCAGGAATAAGAAAGGATGATGTGCACATTTTAAGATAACCAGGCACAGCTATAGCTCAAGTCATCAAGTATTCCTCCTGCGCTGTAGAAGAGATCATTCATTCTTTCCTATACAAAAGCCATTAATAGATGACACATTTTAGGCACTCATCCACCACCTCTTTTTGTTAGCTGATATTCTGCTCAGTAAATAATGCCATCTTCTTCCTATTGCTTCTCATGAACTATGGGAGATCATTTTTCTTTTAAAGTGGCAAATTGTATAGAGGCATTTAAATTCCAGAAGGGTGAACGGCAAGTGTAGCACAAAACTGAAATACAGAACCAAAGCAAGTCCTCAGCTAAATAAATCTTCTACTTAAATCTTCTTTTTCCATTTAACACAGATTCAGTCCTGCCATCACCTAAACTCTGTTATGCATTTGGTGGGCTGTCTTCCTCTGACAATCTACCAGTCTTCATTTGGGGTTTGGTTTACTTCAGATCTTTCCAGATTTTCAGTTTGTAAAACAACTATTGGAGGTCTCCTTCCAAAGGTGGGAGTTCAACTCCCATCATCCTCAGCCTGCCTGATAGTTAAAACTTAAATAGTTAAAGCTAGAAGTCATAATACTACTAGCTTTTCCCCATCCCCAGACAGTGTGAACAGTTGTTGGTTGAATAATCTATATGTGAATTGTAGAACTATGGCACATTTGGGTGGCTGAGGCTGGAATTATATCCAAATATGGCTGGAAAAGATTTGTTTTTTCATTTAAAGAGGCTGCAAATGGGGCCAACATCCACGGGGCCCCATTCATTGGTCCTAATTCCCAGGTTTCAAATAAATGAACGTTAATGTTTTAGTATTTTCATAAAGCAAGTTATAGGAGAAAATATGCTGGCCAGATATTTATTGAGTGTGCATCATAGCCATGATTTTATTTCTTTATCAAGCATCATAGGCCATTTTCCATTAAAAAAAAAAAACTCCAAGCAGTTTGCAATAAAATTTCAACAATTAAAACAATTTGGTTGTAACAATTGTCAAAGACATGCATTAGAACTTTATATAAATATACCATATTACATACGTAACAGAAAGTAAAAGTAACAGGAGAAAAGTAAAGCACCACAGCTGGATTATTAAAAGGCCCAGGAGAGGAAAAATGTGTCTCCAAAAGAACAGTAAAGATGGTGCCAGATGTCCCTCACAGGGAGGACATTCCAAAATCTGGGGTACCACTGAGCAAATCCTGTTCGTGGGTAGACTCTCACTTTTCCCCAGCATGGGAAGGCACCCAGAGCAGGCCCTCTGAAGATGTTCTTAGGGTATAAGTGGAAATGTACATCAAGAGGTGTTCCTTCAGATAATGTGAACGGACTATTTGCAAGCAAATTCTGAAATTAGCTCCCTGCGTTAAGGGTTTTCAAAAAGAAGGAGGTGCCAGCTTTTTTCAGCTGTTCATGTCAACCTCTACAGGCCACAAAGGTGTGTGGTGACCATGCAAGGAAATCACCAGAGAAGGCAGAACTGAAATGTGGGGCCCTTTTCTTTCTGTTTGAGACTTGAAGAAGACCTGGAAGGGGTTTTGAAGAGAATTATGACTGTATTAAGCCCTGAAGAAGCTTACAATCTCTATTTTAGCATTTTTTGCTTGAAAAAAATTACATAAGAATGCTGCTGAACTTCCATGCTCTGATAGTCTAGAGCAGTATTTCTCAACCTTGGCAACTTTAAGACG